CTATTTTATCATAAGATTAAGAGCACTTTTTGGTGATTTTTTTTTATCGTTGAAGTCTTTATTGGTACTATTGGGTTTACATACCAGTCACCTATTAACAACGTCCATTTTAAGGGGAATACTCTCATATGGACGGTCACCCCAGCGCACAAACAACTGATACTACTGGGTTCACAAATCAGTCACCAACAACAGTCGTTTTGAAGACTACACTCACATGGACGATCAAGGGCACGGTTATTAGACCTGGATTCCAAACTGTATCCTAGCAAAGGCTCTACTGTCAGGGTGATGGTCGATCACACTCGTCAAACTAATGATAGCCCGGAGTTCAACTGAATATTTTTTGCAAAGAAGTCACTTCATTGAGCAAATCTCAGTAACTCTAAAGGTGGCAGGTTCTAGTCTAATGACATCTCACTCGACAGGGATCGCCGAACACACCTAAAGATAAACATGAGGATTCGTTGCTCGAATCTGAGGATGAACTGGAAAGCGAGGTGCCTGATACGACATCAACACAGGAACTTCAGATGAAATTTGACAAGAATGGAAAAATGGAAGACGAAAAACAAGTTAGTATCCAGATTTCCATGCCATAATTTAAAACGAAAAAATAAGTCTTACCGAAATGGGATGATGTCGTAAGGGCCGCTTATTAGGAGAGTCAACTGTCGGAGTTACGTTGCGAGATAAAGAGAACCGCTGACACTGGCCTGGTTGCCGCGAGTGCAGTTTAGTTTTTTGTTGTATTGTGCAAACTAAATCAGGGTTGTTAATTTATAAAACTAGTGGGACTGATAAATTTTATTAAGAAAGCAAACAACGAAATGATCTCGCGTTCAAATGAACCAATCAGCTTTCACCGCAAGTACACATTGCCGTCGAAAGCGCGGGAAAAAAATTCAAACAGTGGGAAGCGTCACCAAATTTGGAATAACTTTGCAATATGGGAACTGATGACGTCAATCGTGCAGCAAAGTTGCCAGATTATTGAACGGTCAATCGAGAAGGTCTGGGGACGAGGTTGACTTGTTTTGGCAGTGAATACAAAACGGCGGAATATTTCACTCGTTTCACGAGTGAAGAATTAGGCGAACTATTGACTAAAAACATAGCAGGACGGCAAGAAGACAACTCGACGGACTGCATCTGCTATTTGGGGAATATTTGCAGAACTGAACAACCCTTTATCAAAGATGAACTTAAAATCGATGGAGGTTAGTATGTTTTCGCTTGTTTTTAAACAAGGAATTATTTTGAATGCATAATAAAACAATTCTTAAAGAAAAAGAACTAGACAGCCATGACAGCACCTTTAATACTCAGAAAACCATCTCTCCGTTCCTTTAATAGACTGAATTTTCTGATGAAGAGGAAGATTCTCTATTTGTACAGTTCATGGACGACAACGATAGATTACATAAGGGTCTTAATCTCGCGGAAATTCTTGAATATGACACAAGCGTGAGCGAAAAGGTACGTTACGTATTAAACACAGTAAAGTTGGTTTTACTCTGACTCTAAGAGGAAAAGCCACTTCAAACCACTTTGACACCCTGGGTGCCAGAGACTTTTCATACACGGTTTCCGTTTTCGGTCAACTCTTTGTAGTGACCCGAGCGAGAAGTTTTGCCGCTCGTGGCTTCGGTCTAAAGGCCGAAGACGTATCGGTCTGCGGCCGACCCCGAAGCATCTCCGCCGAGCTCAATCGCCGCACGCGATACAAAAAACCTTGGTTCCCTTGGTAACACGTAATTTCTCCTGATAGTAACATTGCTAAATCAAGCATAAAGGCCATGAGGAAATGATCAACGAGTTACAAAGGTCTTAATTAACTACAAATTGGTGAAAGAAATGTCCTCATTTATATTATCGAAATCATAAGTGCCAGATATCAAATAAAGACTTTTTCCTAGCGCTTAAATTCTTGGAGTGAGCATGCGCGACATAAGCAAAACAATTACACAACGTGGTGCTATGGTCACAAAACCCCTCGTTTCCCGCCATTTTAGAATCACTGTTTTCGAGCCAAACGTCTGTGCTACCAAGTATGTGTACGCTTGTCTCATAGCAGAGGTAATCCTCGTCGGAGAATTCCGACAATTTCGGACTCAAGGTTAATGGTAAAGTCATTTTCGGAAACTCCCGCGGAAAAAATTGAGGAGTGCCTTTTTGAGCCGTCTATGCATGTTGTTCGTACGCAATAAACGTATATAAACAACAGAAAATGTGAAAATTACCGTATTATAACCCTTACATACTAACGCTGCTCTTCTTGCTAATTAAATATTCATCCCTTTTAATCTGTATCTTTCCTCTTAGGAGTAATTTGAGGAACATGATGGACTGATAATCTTTTTTATTAGAGTTTTTATTACAACGATATGATTGAGGTTTAATAAAGCAGTCTTCTTTCCATACAAACCATCTTTGTCTTATTTTGGTTAATCATAATGGTAATATAACGAGGACAAAAAAACTTAAACAAAATCACAGACGGAATAGGCGATTTCCCAATCTCCCCAAGCCTTTGTTTGAAAGCGAGACTAAGGGCAAAGCCATTGATATAAAATTGATTGTTTATTCTCATGTAAATAACACTCATTTTCACAAGAAAGATTTTGAACTAAGCCTCGTTTTGAAAGTGAGAGTATTTGGAACTCGGAATGGCTTATTACTTAGCTGTTAGTTGTCCATGTTATGGAACACATTCAATGTTTCTCCTCTACAGAGGCCCAAAACACTCATATTGCGACGGAATTTATCAACCTGCGAATGAGGCGCAGTCTTCAATTGTCTCCGACCTTCCAATAATTATAATGTTTAATTAAACTGGAAAAACAAAAATCTTAAAATCTCTTCAAAAATGCTTGAAACCAGCCCGAGAAACTCACAAATTGCTACATATACAATAAAAAACTAAGAAATTTCATTTTCATTTCAAATTCTGTGTTAGTTGTGGTAATAAAGTAACAATGTTTGTAACATAACGTGGACTACGTTTGCTGCAATTGCTACGCTTGCTACACTTGCAAAGTTTGCTTGCTACACATGCTACCGGCGCTTGCTACACTTGTTACTCTTGCTACGCTTTCTTCGATTGCTACACGTATTCTCTGTCAAGATGTATAATTAAAAGTCACAAGGACTTAAATCAAACTTGGAAATTTTGTTTTCTACTAAACAGAGACCAACGTACTGTTTAATTGTTTTGACCAGGCACCAAACAATTACAGAGTTAGTATTTCCTAGTTGCCTTTCTATTTTTTTTTTTTCCTGCTTTACTTCTTGTATGTAAAAGGTGTCGAGAAGAGAAATCAGAAAACTTGATGGTAAAAACAACGTTGGGAACGCGAGTAAGCCTGGGCTATGAAAAATAGATACTTCGCTTATCAAAAAGACGAGTAAATGTAAAACTACATTTATAAGTGATTTGACCTAGTGAACAGGGAATTTGACTTCACTATTAGAATGGAGACCAATCTAGACACTAATAAACTTAACCCAATCTAATAATATAACAGTAAAGAACTATATTAAATTGCTACTCTAAAGTGCCTCTGCCCCATGTGGTATCAATGAAAATAGCCGACCACTGATTACTGATATTTTTGAGGTGGCTGTGAAAACAAGTTTTAAGTGCACACGACTGGTCGCAAAAATATTAAGCTACGAAACCTACACTGTAATTTTCAGACTACGTAAAGCTTCAACTTATTTATTAACAGCATATAATGTTCTCTTCTGGATAAAGTCTTCCTATTCTTGGGAGGAACGCTCCACCTCGTAATTGTGACACAAATTAGAAACTGACTTCAACTTCAGATAGCTAGGAACTGCTTCACCGCATTCTTCATCATACCTATACAACAACAACAACAGCAAAAAGCAACGTTAGCAAGCTAACAAAAGAAAAGGATAGTGATTTCATCTAGCGAGGCATAACATTTTGAGAACTGACTTCTAAGAGTGGGCTCGATTGATCGTATTCCGGAATAAGAATACGCAAAAGTTTTGTTATAAACCTATTCTATACTGCAATTTTGAACCATTTAAAATTTATATAGATCAGAATACTTGATTTCAAGCAGTTTTGAAGATATTGCAATACAATGAAAGACAAAACAAGTGATTTCTAGAGAGTTTATTCCATTTATCTTTATTTGAGACGCGGAATACCGTGAATCGAACACGCACTAAATCTATTAGAAAGAGTCACATTTATTAAACTCGTAACTTCAACCAATAATTAGACTTATTGTTGATTTAAAGAAACTTGCATACCATAAATCCTCTCTTAAGCCCCCCTCTCTAATACGCTCCCCTTTTCAGAGAAAGAAATTTATTAAACCTCCTCTCTCTTTCCAGCCCCGTCTCCCTTTTCTTAAATGATAGTCGTATGATCGATGTATTAATTTATCACGACTGTAACGCTTCATGGGGACTTATTATCCGGTATGGTTTATTCACGAGCTCGAAGTTCGGATTTGATTTTGATCTTCGGCTTCATGACCTCCAACTTCATGTGCTTGAGCTTTTCCAGTTTGCGCTCTAGTTCTTTATAAGGATTGAAATGATACTACAATCTTTGCTTAACAGAGAGGCTTAATAGAGGAGTTACCATATCTCAAGACTTTCCTAAACGACCACCGACTGGAAATTTGATCTTCGAATTTTGGGTCGTCGCTTACTTCAGGTTCGATTGTAAGCTACATTGGAACGAACTCAGACGGGGCCACCGACACTTTGAAATGTCAAAAAAAAAAATCATGAGACGTGAAATAAATTTTCTAGTGTTTAACCACCAAAAAAACTACCAGAGTCAGATTCCTTTGTTGTTGTGAATTTGACCTGTGACTGGCAGATTGACGCTACGTGGCACCGTTTGAATTTGTTGGTCAATATTATGGCAAAAATAATTCCTTGTTAAAATTTCGTTTCCTAAAGCACGTAATATGATCCAAGGTTTTAATATATATCCCAAAATACCTCGCAATTTATTGGATGCCCTCAAAGTCGAGCGTTACGTCGTCACCAATGAGAACAAACGGCGCCCAGTACTTCACTGCATTAAAGCGGTCAGATTCTCTCATGGATTTCATGGCGTCATTCAGAGCTTCACTGGCACTTCGTCCATGGACTAGTTGTGTGTAGAAAACTTTCATGAACTCCATAGTAGCTTCGTCGTCGATCGCCCACAGGGACACCAGAACAGAGCGAGCACCAGCACCCAAAAACGCCCGTGCGATGCCGACAACACCCTCAGATTTGACTTCTCCCCAAGCACTATGACAACAACTAAGTACAACAAGTCTTGCCCTAATCTTCGCGTCTAAAACATCTTTCATAGATAAGAGATAGTCCTCCCTGGCTGGATTCACGGATGAACGTGTTGTGTTTGGGGCCAAGGCAATTTCTCCTGTTTCCATTTTACCGTGAGCAGCAATGTGCACCAAAGCAACCGAGGAGATACGTGCTAAGACTTCATCTTTCGTTGCCTGCTTTCCAACGAGAGGTTCAGTTTGAAGTATTTCCCCAATCATCTGCACTTCCTTTTCAGCCCACTTTAACTGCCCCAGCGTCATTCCTTCATAAACTACCTCCTGTACCCACGGATCGCCGACGAGAAGGGCGCCAGTCTTACTGTGCCAATCTGCTGGACAATTTTGGATTAATCGAAGACTAGAAAGTGAAGGAACCAGACGAATTCTGAAAGTTTCACAGAGGTACTCTGATTTCAAGTCCACGAAAACAGCATAAGGGGCCAAACACAGAGGTCCTTGTGGAACAATCACAACCTCATCGCTATGGAGCAAGTCTCTTATAGGGTCTATAACCACATTGTAAAATGTTTGTAATGAATTTGTCTGAAAATATGAAGGACAAGACTTTGGCTCACTGGATCTTTCTTCTACTAGCTTTTTATCGCTTGGGTTACTTAATGAGCGATCTTCACAGTTAACATCAGCTCTCACACCTATTTCTTCATGTGTAGTTTCCAATAGAGACTGAAAATAGGTTGTGACGGAGATATCGATCTGGCTTCTTCTAGTTTTGATTTCTTTTCCTTTCTCGTTCACCCAGAGAACCATTCCTCCCTTGCCTATACCCAGGAATGCCGTATTTGGTGGTAAGTAACTAGCAAAGTCACTTGGTCTTGCATAAAGTGTTCCTATTTCTGGGCGTAGCCCTTTAAGGCCATACTTCAACTCCAGAAGATCGTTTAAAGCTTGTGCACGTCCTTGATCAGCAGTTAAAAGTGCCTCAATGACTTTACCTTCCTTCAACTGCAGCTCCCACAGCCTCAAGTTAATATAATCATACGTATTTTTAAGGCTAATCTTCCATTCGTCTTTAGATATGAGATTTCCCCTAATGTGGTCGAAGGCTAGAACACTGTGCTTATAATACTGAACGGCTTTCTGAAACTCTCCAAGACTTTCATAAGCGACGCCAAGATTACCGTACGCTTTTCCTTGTCCTTCTCTATGTCCCAGTTCTTTCGAAATTTTGAGGCATCGTTCATGACACTCTATGGCTTTCTGGAAATCTCCAAGATTTCTATAGGCGACACCAAGATTACCGTACGCTCCTCCTTCCCCTGCTCTGTCTCCCACTTCTTTCGAAATTTTGAGGTGTCGTTCATGGTACTCTATGGCTTTCTGGAAATCTCCAAGACTCTGATAGGCGTTGCCAAGATTACCGTACGCTCCTCCTTCCCCTGCTCTGTCTCCCACTTCTTTCGAAATTTTGAGGTGTCGTTCATGGTACTCTATGGCTTTCTGGAAATCTCCAAGACTGTCATAGGCGTTGCCAAGATTACCGTACGTTCTTCCTTCTCCTGCCCTGTCTCCCACTTCTTTCGAAATTTTGAGGTATCGTTCATGGTACTCTATGGCTTTCTGGAAATCTCCAAGACTGTAATAGGCGTTGCCAAGATTACCGTACGCTCTTCCTTCTCCTGCCCTGTCTCCCACTTCTTTCGAAATTTTGAGGTCTCGTTCATGGTACTCTATGGCTTTCTGGAAATCTCCAAGACTGTAATAGGCGTTGCCAAGATTACCGTACGCTCTTCCTTCTCCTGCCCTGTTTCCCACTTCTTTCGAAATTTTGAGGTGTCGTTCATGGTACTCTATGGCTTTCTGGAAATCTCCAAGACTGTGATAGGCGTTGCCAAGATTACCGTACGCTCCTCCTTCTCCTGCTCTGTCTCCTACTTCTTTCAAAATTTTGAGGTGTCGTTGATGGTAGTCTATGGCTTTCTGGAAATCTCCAAGACTGTCATAGGCGTTGCCAAGATTACCGTACGCTCTTCCTTCCCCTGCTTTGTCTCCCACTTCGTTCGAAATTTTGAGGTGTCGTTCATGGTACTCTATGGCTTTCTGGAAATCTCCAAGACTCTGATAGGCGTTGCCAAGATTACCGTACGCTGTTCCTTCTGCTGCCCCGTTTCCTACTTCTTTCGAAATTTTGAGGTCTCGTTTAAGGTACTCTATGGCTTTCTGGAAATCTCCAAGACTGTTATAGACGTTGCCAAGATTACCGTACGCTCTTCCTTCGTCTGCTTTGTCTCCCACTTCTTTCGAAATTTTGAGGCATCGTTCATGGTACTCTATGGCTTTTTTGAAATCTCCAAGACTGTCATAGGCGATGCCAAGATTACCGTACGCTCTTCCTTCCCCTGCTCTGTCTCCCACTTCTTTGGAAATTTTGAGGCATCCTTTATGGTATTCTATGGCTTTCTGGAAATCTCCAAGACTGTCATAGGCGACGCCAAGATTACCGTACGCTCCTCTTTCCCCTGCTCTGTCTCCCACTTCTTTCGAAATTTTTAGGTGTCGTTCATGGTACTCTATGGCTTTCTGGAAATCTCCAAGACTGTAATAGGCGTTGCCAAGATTACCGTACGCTCTTCCTTCTCCTGCTCTGTCTCCCACTTCTTTCGAAATTTTAAGGTGTCGTTGATGGTAGTCTATGGCTTTCTGGAAATCTCCAAGACTGCAATAGGCGACGCCAAGATTACCGTACGCTGTTCCTTCCCCTGCTCTGTCTCCCACTTCTGTCGAAATTTTGAGGTGTCGTTCATGGTACTCTATGGCTTTCCGGAAATCTCCAAGACTGTAATAGGCGTTGCCTAGGGCCTGCTGGAAATCTTTAAAGTTGACATAGGTGTCGCCAATATTATCATCAAAAGGTGTGGTTGTCATATTTTTTTTTGCTGGCTTTGCTATTTCAGCTCGTCTGACAAAGGGTATACATATTGTGGTTTCTTTTTTCTTCTGATAACATTTGTCTTTATGTACTATGACGAAGAGGATCTGAAAAGCACAATTAAAAACTAGAGTAAAAGCTTATTTATTAGCTCCTTTACTATTGGTTTTTGTCTATCACAGTCGTATTTGATTTGCCTCAATAAGGAATCCTTCTACGTGTTTTTCATCGTTGTATAATATGACTTGATGGACTGGAACCGCCGCCCGGTTAGTTCAATGGGATAAGCGCCGGTCTGCTGAGCGACTAGGCCGTAAGTTCAGACCCCGGCCTGACCAACACTCAGGGTCTTTAAATAATTGAGGAGAAAGTGTAATAGCATCTGCAAAAGGTTAGACTTTCTAGTCTTCTCGGATAAGGACGATAAACTGTAGGCCCCGTTTCACAAGTCCTTGCACGTGTAATAAATCTGTGGGACGTTAAAGAGCCCACACGGTCTTCGTAAAGTGTAGGGCACGTAGTGCCCGGTGTAGTGGTCTATCTCACTTTCACACTCATGTATGGGGGCATCATTACTCATTCCTTCATTACTTGTAAACTGCACCTAAGCAGTCAGGTAAAGTCCCCCAACCAGTGTTGTAAATTATCCCTGAAAAGCCCTGAGGGGAGTGGATAATAAGATATTTACAGTTTACAATTTACTGGGTTCTTCTCTAAAAAAAGGAAAATATTAACATTCGTTTTAGTGATAATGATCGAATTACAAAAAAAAAAAGAGAAACAGATTTACCATTGTTGTCCTCGCAGGGATTTCGCCCAGAAGGCGAAATCCCGAGGAGGCACTCTAGTAACTCGCGCGTATATTAAGGAAAGTACTTACAGTTGAAATATACAGTCAGTATGCTAGAAAAAATCTCGATTTGCTTGAACAGGGGCCGCGAGGAATCGCTAGGTTATGATGACGTTTCTATTTTTGCGCCCGCAAGTACGAAATGGTTAGGATGACGTAAAGACAGAAAATCCTGAAGGGACCACTCAGGTAGTTTTTGTGACATTTATAGCGACAGTCATTCTTCGATACTCTTTTGCGTTACGTGTTATCACTGACATTCTATGCAGCAGTTGTTTGAAAGTTATGGACCAAAAGACACTCGTTAAGCGCAGATGAAGTTATAAGGAGCGTATAACTGTGTATATATAAACACTTGGAGAGTTTGTCAGACACGAGTTCACAAATCTTTGATTGGAAATCTTGCCGGACACTCTTTCTCTCTCTTTGATCGGAATAAGACTCAGCCCCAAACCAGCAAGACGAGTGAACAACGGCTAGCTTATCACTAGCAGAACGATGGGCGATTACAGAAATTCTCCGTCAATCAAATTCTGTGCTGACTTATTCCGTGCTCACAGATGTCTTTCCGCTATAAAGTTTAAAATAAGACTAGAATGCGCGAGCGTGAATTGATCAAACGTCCTTTTAATTTCTAAGGCTTACTTTCCGGCAAATAAAATGAACTGAATGTAAAAAGTGAAAGAGAAATATGGAAAAATTTAACTTCTAATTAAATCTTTTCTTATGGTTTAGAATAAACTATTCTCGAAACTGAGAATGTTTTGAGCAAAGCTGTGTAAATCGAACTGAAACTGTGCATGGAACCTTGCGTTTCCGGTATTTATCTCACCTATTGTATTGAATATGTGTGAAAATCTTCATTATGAATCGGTATATTTCAAAGAGCTACACAACGAGCAAGAATACTGTAACCTACAATATACAGAGCAGGGGCAGCTGAAGTGTCGACTATTACCAGTTTAAACATGGTGTATATACATTATCTATCTATTCATTGTATATTCATCTACCTTCTACTGAAACTACTGAAGCTGTTGCCAACAAACTACAAACCGGGCCAGTGGAAACATTTCAGAAAACTCAAATTTCGGAAATTGAACTTATTTCTAAAGGTGAACATCTCTTGGTAGCGGAATACAAGTGCTTAGCAATTGAAAAGAAAACCTATTTCTCTACCACCAAAACACTGAGAAAGTAGTCGTCGTAAAGAGGTTATAGGTTTGTGTGCAACACATTGTAGTATACCCGAAGTAGTCAATCGATAAAAATCGGTAAATCTGATTTGATTGATAATGATTGTATCGATCAATCGGTAGAGATCGATGACACATTCGTTTCGTTAATCTATTTTGCTTGGTTTTTTTTTTCCGATTTCATCGATTTATATCGGAAGATATATCTGTTCATCTGTTCATCCAAAAAATGAAAACTGATTTCATGGAAACAGTAAATTTGTTGACAGTTGAGTTGCAATTGAGAGTCGAAGGATCAAACAATTATCACTTTTTAAAAAAAATCTTTTTAAAAAATCTGAGAAATCTTGTCTTCTCTTCAAAACCAGGTTTAAAATCTTCTGGTTTATAGGTATCCAGCTTTTCACGATTTAGACCTGCCGCCCTTTGAACGTCGGTGTAGTTCCGGGTGTAGTTACATCGTGGAGTAGCCAATGGATAAAAATCGTCAGCAATCAAGTGATTTTTATCGATTGACAACGAAACAGTGAAAATCTATATAGGGAAATCTTTGAATGAATTTCAGACATCCCTTCAACTCGTGGGAATGTCTGAAATTCAGGCAAGGAAATCTTTACTAAGGTTGTATTTCTCGTGATACTTGCCTGCGAGAACTGAATGTAATTATAAAAGCGAACCGTTTTTGTTATTATGTGCAAAACGAAGAGTTTTAGAGAGAAACTTGTGCGTGCAATGGTTTCCACATTTCTCTTTGTCATGTTTGTTGATCAGTGATTACTCGTGGATGCTAACTTATGCCAAAAAACAACAAGGGCGGACTTCCGTTATATATCGTTAAAATCATGAAAAATCGATAATATCGATTTGACACAGCAGTTTAGTTTATCGATTTTCACCGATTTCCGTTATCAATAGATAAAAATCACTTGATTGCTACCGATTTTTATCGATTGACTACTCCGAGAGTATACCACACATGTAAGTATATAGAGTTTGTTTGTGTCACGTAATTTACGAAGATTGCTTGCCAGCTCTTTTTAAAAAAAACATCCGTCTGAGGATAAGCCGGTTGAGAGGGATTTCTGTATGCAGCTTGGCCTTACAATTTATTCACACAAAAAATTACTATCACTATGAGTATATCGCCAGTGGGACCATGTATGCATATCGCATAATAAAATTAAAGTGCTGAGAGGAAATCCTATATGATGGTTAATATCGCTGAAAAGTCCCCTGCGACCTGAAAGATTGTATTTACCGACGTATTCCCCTAGTTGGCGGGGGGTCTGACTGACATTTAATTTTGAATCATTTAGTTGAGCATTCAAAGATTAAAGCTGAATTTATCCAGATTTGTTTTCAGTTTTCAGCTGACTTTATTCAGCCTTCTTTCCATTTGTTTTGTGGCGTTGCAATAACTTGATCGGTTAGTATAAATAGAACACTGTTATCCCAGCTGTTTTTCGATTTACCAGTTACATTGCGATTTACATGCCGGTATGATTTGCATTTTGGTTGCACATGCCTGTATGATTTACGTTCATGAGCTGAAGATTAAACTGTTGAAGTCCAAGTTTGAGTGCTGTCCTGTTTTCCAGTTGTAGCAGATCCTAGTATTGTGGAACAGTGACGAGTTCCTTTCCCGCCAGCCAAGCGCCGAGTTGCAGAGTTAGTTTTCCCTCTTGTTGTTCATACGCCGAAGTCGCTCGAATTCTCTTAACTCTTATTTCCCCGATTTGTGTTTGGAAGGACAAAACCTATCGTCACCGCTGAAGACAGTTTAATTACGGTTCCTTTTGATCCTATACTCATAAACACTCCGAAACACCTATTTTCTACATATGAATGCTATTGATCTTGCTTAAACTTAATTAAATTGATCTTTTCAGTATAAATAGAAACACTCTGTAAGCTAGGGTATATTCAGTTTTAGCTCTGGTCAAGCTTGTCATTGTTGCACAGAAGAAGATTAAACAAACTTCAACTGCCAAGTCCTGTTTGTCTATTCCTTCAAAATCTGTATCCCAACATAAGGTTCGTCAGAAAGTTTCCCGGCGATTAACGCCAAAGGCATTTCTTCACTTTGGATAGGGAATTCTATCTGTTGTAACTGCAGCTAACGTATTAAATGCATACCTCAGTTCTAAATTCTCGAGTAATCTTGATAGTTTGTAAGAGGGTACAGCAGACAGTCCTTGATTCGTGACGACGAAAGGGTCTACGAGAAAATAATAGATGGAGATTAAGAACCAAATGCATCTCTCAGGTAAATTCTACTATAACTTATAGTATAGTGCGCTTGATTTCTCACGACCAAATAGCCCGGGGCGGGGGGACTCCGCATATGAAAGGGGTGGGGATGCTCGTCGGAAATTTTGAATTAATCCCCTAAAAGAGACCGATCTAGGCGTAACCTGAGCTTTTTTGACCCCTAAAAGAGACCATATTAAAACACAGACAATACACATATTATTATATTTTTTCACGTGCAACCCTAAAAGAAACCTTCAGGGCTAAATATGATGGTGTTCTGCCCAGAACACCCTAAGTGAAACCAAAATCCAAAACTTTACACCCCTAAGCAAGACGACGAGCATCCCACCCCTTTTATATGCGGAGTCCACCCCCCGGGCCAAATAGTCTACGAGGAAATCATATTTTGCAAAACAAGTTCACGTATAAAGTCAGTTGAACTTTCAGAACTTTCCTTCACAATGTAACCGAGCGGCGCGAGCGGTTCAACGCCGCCAACGGCCGGAGGCCAAAGAGCAGTGGCACAACGACATGAATCCTTTGGATGCAAGGAGTGGGCTTAAATGAATGTTTATTACAAAAGAAAAACGAACACCTAATTAAAAAAAAAACTAACGACAAAACGAAGTAAAAGCTAATTAAAAATGAAATATATTAATACAGCGCGAGAATGAAACAATGAAATAAGGAAATGTTACGCAAAAATTACCAGAGGTCGAGACTTTCTGGAGAGTTAAGCTCCACAGCTAAATAGCAAAGCTTAATAGCCGAGCTAACTCAACTCGAGGAAACTAGACTAAAGTACTCGTATTTATACGCAAGTAAACAGATACTTATGTGATAGGAAACGAGTCAAAAGCATAAAACAGATAAATCACATCCTGATTTGAGGGGATTAAAATAAACGCCCAAGTCACGCCTAACTTGCAAAAAAAATAGGTGTTGAAAAGAGAAACGATAAAACACGATAGCCAAAAACTACGCACAGGAAAAACAAACCTAAGAAAATACCAATCCTACGCATATCTAAAAGATAAGTAAGTAAAACTACAAAAATAGGTGATTAAACCTAGTAACTGAAAAGGGAATTTGACTAAACAATAGGGATGGTGACCTTTCTAGACGGTAAGCGTTTAACCGATCTACTCACGTCAACAGAATTGCAAATAAGCCAAAAGAATACAAAAAAAACTACAACTGTGTAACTAAAAACATAATAAAACGATCTGTAAGTCTCTTAAGGAACCATAAAAGTGACTCTGTCACAACAAAATAACAGGACCTGCACAAAACTAACCTGGGCGACAATCAAACCTTTTAGAGGGTCTGAATGGGGGGGTCCACTTGTCGGTTGTCGGTTAAAATTCAGTAATTTTGTCGGTAGTCGGTGAAAATTTTCGATCTTTGTCGGTAGTCGGTTAAACTTTTCGATTTTCGCCGGTTGTCGGAAAATCTCAGTTAATAAGTAAAAACGCTTGTTAATTATTTATATTTTTTATGTATTTCACCCACTTTTCAAGACTTTGATCCCTAAGGAAAGAGTAAAACTTGCAAGAATGCATCATTTGATTGCGCCTAAACCGTTCATTAACTCTTGTTTTTTATGCAACATGAACGTTTATTTCATCATTGTTTGCCATTAAATGAATAATTAGTACTGATAAAATCACCCAAGCTTTTATTGTAAATGCGAACTTGGTTTCCCTGTGGACTATAGGGCACAGTAAAAAGTAATTAATTAATTACTTACTGGACTCTAGCCTTTTGGATACTTAAATTATTTTCATTGAAAAACTGCAAGGGATGACAGGCTGCACATCTACCCCTCCCGTGTTTTGGTTCTAACAAGCATGTCCTTTGCCATAATTTTCCTTTCTCAAAGAAATAGCACTTTAGGTGGTTCTTTAAAATTTTGGCAAGGTAGTGGCTGGTTTTGTATGAGATTCCACTTTTTCATTAAAGCTTCTTTTTTATAGACACTAAGGGCTGGTATTGTGTCACGAAAGGCAATATTTCAGTCTTTTTCTTCCTGGTTGTTTTTTTTTCAGGAGCGCTGCCTTCCTTTCTGTGAGTTTTACTTCTAATAGCAATTTTTCTTTCAAAATTGTGTGGTTAGCCTCTGTCCATCAAGCGCTTTTGAAATCTGAAATACTTCCTCAGAGGAGTTTGTTCGTAGGATTCTCAAGGCTTCTCGTTTGTCAAACAGGCGCTTTAACAATTGGTGGGTGATAAGAGGTGAAAATGTATATACTGTAAGGTTTCCGTTTCAAATGCGTCTTTACGTCAAGGATAGCTTTTTCTCATTTTTTCGCTGAATGTTGTACCTTGGTATACAACCGTTTCTAAAAAGAATGTCTCATTTTCAGATCTTTCGGCCGTGAATTTCATGGGAGGGCATGTAAGTTTACTTGTTCCGCGAAGAAAGCTACGATGTCTGGTTTACTTATGTCCCATAGCGAACAATGTCATTTATGTAGCGTTTTCAAACAGTTGGTTTAAAGACGGTTTTGCTTAAACTTTGTGTTTCAATATGCATGTGCCATGAAAATGTTAGAAAGCTAAGGAAACTGCTGTCTTTGCGTTCATCGCGGTAACGTGGGTTTGTACTGATAGTTCTTTACATTAAACGGGAAAGAATTTTCTTTGAGGATTAATCTAAGCAAAAAACGTTCGGTTTTTTCACCTTTGACTTTTCAATAAAATTTATAAAGTCGGTAGCATCTTTAAGGTGTGACTTTGTGATTTTGATATTGGCCGTAGCAATGTACCTGTATCAACAGCAAAAAAAGGAAATTCTTTCCCTTAGGCCATATGATGAGTCATAAATTTAAAGAGGTTACTTATTTCCTCGAGCTAACGGTTAGATTAAATACAAAATGCTCTTTTTTCTGGAAACAAATATTGATAATATCAGCCCATGTCGGTAGTCGGTTAATATTTTTCCTGTCAGTAGTCGGTAATTTTTTACTCATTTTGTCGGTAGTCAGTAATATTTTTCGCCCTCTGTCGCTAGTCGGTTGCAGTCAAACCAGGTCAAGCGTTCCCGTCGCTAACAAACTAATGAATTCATTAATGGAAAAATGATTTCGTTTGTTGATTCAATAATCCATTCATAAAATGAATAATCCAACGGTCAAATTGTACCTCGATTCAATAATCAAATGTTGATTTGGTTTATGAACAAAATCTACCTGTCCTTTATTCTTGTATGTTGTGTTCAATCGTATTTGCTTCCCTTTTCCTGCCGTTTACGATTGCGTTTTTCATTGCCTTTAATCAAAATAACAGCTAGAATAGACAGACCGCAAACGCAAAGAAACTGACAAAGGCCGAGGATCGAAATCCACCAATCACCGCACATACACTGACCTCAGTTTGACCGTCGTGTTTTCTAAGGGGTCAGGCCTAGGTCTGTTGCACTGATTATTGGCAGCAAACTGGCGTACATGTAACAGTTTGTTTGGGTTTGAACTTCAGAACTCGCCAGCACTCGACTCTCAGAAAAAAAAAAGGAAAAAACAAAATTCTGAGGTCAACTTGTGGAAAGTGTAATTTTTCAAAAAACAGTAATCGAATCAACATTCGATTATGGAATCGAGGCTAAATATGACTATTGGATTGTTTATTTTATGAATGGATTATTGAATCAACAAACGAAATCATTTTTCCGTGAATGAATTCATTAGTTCGTTAGCGACGGGAACGCTTGACCTGGTTTGACTGTAACCCCATTCACACCCTCCTTTTACGAAGTGAATGTTGAATCTTGTGTCAGGGATTTTTCCCTTCATTTAGTGTTCAGTTTCAATTTCATGAACTTACGTCAACGAAATTGACGTAAAATGAGGCGTGACATTAAATCTAATATACAGTTATCAACAGTTCTCTGAACAAAATCACAAAGAGCTCTAAAAAATATCTTACAACAGGTTCTGTAGACTGATGGAAGCTTCCGCAGATAAAGTTGGTCGGATACTTGCCGTCTTTTCTCCGAAAAGTGCTGGAAAAATATGCCTTGTGAACGGTCTTGTGATTGACCTTCTGACTGTATGTGCGTGCGTTTTTATAAAATGAGTTCCATTCCTAGTATTGTGTAACAGTGACGAGTTCCTTTCCCACTAGCTAAGCGAGTTGCAGAGTTAGTTTTCCCCCTTGTTGTTCACACACCGAAGTCGCTCGAATTCTCTTAACGCTTATTTCCCTGATTTGTGTTTGGAAGGACAAAACGTTTCGTCACAGCTCAAAACAGTTCAATTACGGTTCCTTTTGATCCTATACTCATAAACACTCCCAAACACCTATTTTCTGCATATGAATGCTATTGATCTTGCTTAAACTTAATTAAATTGATCTTTTCAGTATAAATATAGAAGCATTCTGTAAGCTAGGATATATTCAGTTTTAGCTCTGGTCAAGCTTGTCATTGTTGCACAGAAGAAGATTAAACAAAGTTCAACTGCCAAGTCCTGTTTGTCTATTCCTTCGAAATCTGTACCCCAACATAAGGTTCGTCAAAAAGTTTTCCAGCGATTAACCCTAAAGGCATTTCTTAACTTTGGATAGGGAGTTCTATCTGGCCGATGTAACTACAGCTAACGTATTAAATGCTTACCTCTGTTCTAAATTCTCGATTAATCTTGATCAGTTCGCTAGAGGGTACAGCAGACAGTCCTTGATTCGTGACGACGAAAGGGTCTACGAGGAAATGATAGATGAAGATTAAGAACCAAATGCATCTCTCAAGTAAATTCTAGTGTAACCTGAGCTAATACAATGCCTACCTTGGTTATAAATTGCCGAGTCGTTTTGATATATAGTATAGTTCGCTTGATTTGTCACGACCAAATAGTCTACGAAGAAATCATATTTTCCAAAACAAGTATATATATAGAGTCAATTGAACATTCCTTCACAAAAAACAGGACCTGCACAAAACTAACCTGGGCGACAATGAAACCTTTTACCAAGTGAATGTTGAATCTTGTATGAGGGATTTTTCCCTTCATTTCGCTTTCAGTTTCAATTTCATGAACTTACGTCAACGAAATTGACGTAAAATGAGGCCTGACATTGAATCTAATATACTGACATTTATCAACATTTCTCTGAACAAAATCACAAAAAGCTTTAAAAAAGATCTTACAACAGGTTCTGTAGACCGATGGAACCTTTCGCAGATGAAGTTGGTCTGATACTTCCTGTTTTTTCTCCGAAACTTGCTGGAAAGATATGCCTTGTGGACAGTCTTGTGATTGACCTTCTGACGAGGCTCACATTATACTAAGTAGATTCGATATAGATCGTTTTCACTGTCACGCAACAAAAAAATAAATTGGAAACCGTCCAGTGGAAGAAGCCAAGAAAATGAAATGTTATAAAAGACTAGTATATAAGCAATTTGTCTCAGGTCAGTCTCAGGTCTTTGTGGCCCACAAAGACCTGAGTTATTTGCCGAAACGTTTCACGCACCTTTGTAGAGCTTTGTATGCTTGAAGACGTGCGCTTAAACATATCTTCTAATACCGTATTTATCGGATTAACCGCCCTGGGCGCTTATTAAATTTTTGGACCTTGAGAATGGGCGTTTATTCAAGGTGGGCGCTTATGAGAGGCTGGGTGCTTATTAAATTTTCACCATTTTCGACAAGTGTAGTATGTATATTTTGGAAGAAAACAGTAAGTGGTAATAACAAAACGCGAAGATGTAACAAAGCAAGCCGTTTGTGTAAAACACTCTGAAGAAAACTCCGTCTTCGGGGAAGTCTCAAATTAGTACTTATTCCTTTTTTGGGTGGTAGCAGGAAGGGAGTGGGCGCTTATTTGAGTTTGAGTGAGAGTGCGAGGGAGGTGGGCTGGGTGGGGGTGGGCGTGGAGACCGGCCTCCCCCCGCTTATCTCAGGGTCTGGATGATCGTCCCCCCACCCCCCTCCCCCTTATCTCAAGGTCTGGATTCGCCACGAGTGGTTTTCAAGTTAGGATCGAAAGTAAATTGCGTTTGCTGTGGTTTGGCTACGCCGCACGGTGATTGGTTACACTCTTTTTTTTTTATAAGAATATATTTTATAAGAATATCGAGGCTGAAATTTGCGAAATTTTAAGAATATTTTAAGAATAAAGCCGAGGCTGTGATTTTGAAAAGGATAGATATAACTTTGGCTGCCTTTGTCACTCCGCTAACACCATGCACACATTTCTCATGTACAGACAACCTTTGCTGGTTAACAAAGAGTTTACTGCAGTGATTACACTTAATTGTCCTTGACATAGTTGAAACAAAATCGGGTACTTTCGTTTCCATCACGCTATTTCTGTGCGAAATGCTTTTTTTAAAGCCAAAACGGCCAGGTGTCGTTTGACGTGACATCTTGACCCCGCTGACTGCAACGAAAAGCGATGGAGCACGTGCTGAATTCCAAAACGGAAATGTCATAAGCTATAATTTAAGAATAATACAAGAATATTTTCAGCCTAAAATCGGCAGAAAAATAAGAATATTCAGCCTGGGCAGGAAACAAACATTCTTATAAAAAAAAAAAAAAAGAGTGTATTTGACAAAACACGGGCCACTTTTTCAGCAAAAGAGAAGTAAAACCAAACCAAATCGCGACTTGCAAGCGCATGCTCTCGCACTTTCTGCAAGGATACTTCGGATACTTCCTGTTTTTTCTCCCAAAACTGCTGGAAAAATATGCCCCTTGTGGACGGTCTTGTGATTGACCTTCTGACGAGGCTCATTTTTGAGCTATAAATAGCTCATCTGTCAGAGGTTTAAGCGGGGACCAATAGGGCCGAAAACTTTTCGCACTTCAACCCCTAAAGTCGAATAATAATCAGTTTTCGTTAACTCATTAAAACTTGGGTTGGGCCACGCGCCTTGATACCTTTTAACTTCTCTGTTCAGAGTTGAACCAGTTTTAAGCGAATTTCACTCACTTTACTAACTTAAAACTAAAATCTCGGGAGTTTCGATAGAATCTCGGAAAAACTTAATACCTTACTGACTAGCGATTTCAATTCTTGTAAAGGAATTCGGTCATTACTAGTTTTGCAAAGTTTTCACAGTGGCAGCTGTGTAAGGAGAGATTTTCCATGTACCCTTTATTTGCCTCGAACTTCATATGTAACTTTTAAATATTCCCTTTGAAGTTGTTCCAGCGGTAATTTACTTTGCATTTGCATTGAGATGTTTTAGTTCTTTTAAATTATATACACATGTTACTTCAATATTGACTTTTAAAAGGATATAGAGGATATTACACGGTGGCGAGAAGATATGAATTTTATGTTCGAGTGGCAAGAACAATATCTCACGAGTGAGCGAAGCGAACGAGTGAGATATTGTTCTTGCCACGAGAACATAAAATTCATATCTTCGAGCCAACGTGTAATGTTCTTTTTATTATATGGAGAAACCAATTCAACAAAAGAAAAAGGCGGGAATCGTGAGGTCTTTGAACGATACGACACTCACAAAGGTGACAGACGGAAAATACGCCACTCGGGTCCCGGATGAAGTGGCGTATGGAATCTACGAGTGGTTTAGTTCCCAGTAAAACACTCTCCTCCATATAATAAAATTAGTTTCTGAATAATTATGCAACTTAGTCACTGCGGAATAATTGGATCGTTCCCTTGTTCAAATACCAACCTTTCGTAGTTTTTATTTTGTAATTTTAAGGAATCCTGAGCAAAGGAAACTCGAATTCTTTGCACAGCTTTACTGCTGAATCTTTGTAGTTTCTGAAATTCATCTCTGTGACTGACATTTAATTTTGAGTCATTTAGTTGAGCATTTAAACTTTAAAGCTCAATTTACCCAGATTTGTTTTCAGTATTCACCTGATTTTATTCAGCTTTCTTTCCATTTGTTTTGTGACGTTGCAATAACTTGATCGGTTAGTATAAATAGAACACTGTTATCCCAGCTGTTTTTCGATTTACCTTGCGATTTACATGCCGGTACGATTTGCATTTTGGTTGCAAATGCCTGTATGATTTACGTTCATGAGCTGAAGATTAAACTCTTGAAGTCCAAGTTTGAGTGCTGTCCTGTTTTCCAGTTGTAGCAGATCCTAGTATTGTGGAACAGTGACGAGTTCCTTTCCCGCTAGCCAAGCGAGTTGCAGAGTTAGTTTTCCCCCTTGTTGTTCATACGCCGAAGTCGCTCGAATTCTCTTAACGCTTATTTCCTCGATTTGTGTTTGGAAGGACAAAACCTATCGTCACAGCTGAAAACGGTTCAATTACGGTTCCTTTTGATCCTATACTCATTAACACTCCCAAACACCTATTTTTCTGCATATGAATGTTATTGATCTTGCTTAAACTTATTAGCTGTGGTCACACTACAGACTTTTTACCTAGGTTAACACGACTTGTTGACAGTCTACCTAGGGAAACTTGACTTTTTAAGTGTGACCGATTTTGGAAATTTTCTCGTCTGGGTCTTGGATATGTCTCGAAAACAATAGAGTTTACCTTGACAGCTACCCCAAAGCAATAGCTAGGGAAAAATGAAATACCGAGGTTGCTAGCCAATAGACGCTCATCGGCGAAAGTCTTGATGACAGAACCGGACATAGATCAAGCTGTGAAAGAAATTTTGGGGGCACGAGTCGTCTACGTCTTCGCCTTTCTTCACCTTGCACGTTGAATTAGCGTAAGAAATAACAGCGAGATAAAAGAAAAAAACGTCTCTTTGATCAGCTAGATCCCTGCGCATTTTGCCTTCTTGAATTGACGCTCCAAAAAATTCAACTGGCTTGAAAACTTTGGGAGCCGATATCAGTAGTGTGACCTTCCCACAATTTTTACCCAGGTAAAACAAAACCCGAGATGAATTTACCTCGGGAGATTTTTGATTAATTTGCCCTAGGTAAATCGGTTTTACCTAGGTAGAAGTCTGTAGTGTGACCACAGCTATTAATTGCCAACGAGCCATCCGAGCGAAGACGCTCGGATGGCGAGGGGACAGAAGAATAGAGCCGCGCAAGACTCGGCTGTAGGCAGAAAAATTCTTGATCGAGCTTCAAAAAGTGTAACCTCATGTAATGTAGATTCCCCTGAGACCAAGTGGTGTGACAGTTTCAGCCAATCAAAAGGCGGTGAACTATACTTGGCGCACATGTGCTCTTTCCTCAGCGGCACGCGAAGACTGAACTTGAATGTGGTACGTTTTTATTGTTTATTCACCTAAATCTAGCCCCGGCAGTCAAGGAAAATGAAAACTTGATGCATTGTATTAATTTGGGGGGCCATTAATGTAAGGTTTTAACGAAGAGAAGTTTGTAAAACAACAGTTTAAGCAAAGAATATTTTTCCACGTGAAACAAGCAAAAGGATCAGATTACACCAGGAGATAAGGAAAGCTTGATACGAAGAGTATATAGTCGCTTCTGTTGGAAAATCTGATGTTGGGGAAAAAACCTAACCAGCAAATGGAAAAATAAGAATAAAAAAGAATTACAAGCCTAGAGCGAACGACAAAGGAAAAGAAAACAACGCTATTTTTTCGAAACCTGGCCGAGTTTATAATAAAGTGAAAACAAAATACCGACGTGCCGTACATCGCATGTCCTTGGAAACATTTCAAGCAGCGCAGCGAATCATTCTAAAATTCAATCGGGAACTCGACATAAAGCCTCGGGAATTTTCAGAGGAGGTTTAAATGATTAAACTACACAAATATTTATCTACAAAGTGAAACCGAACCGACACTAATTTTGTAGTGGTAAGAGAAACGATCATTTTTTATATTTTCCCCTAAATATTAACGATCGCTTCCTCTGCAAGATCTTTTATTCTTTCAAAAAAGTATGCCTCATGACACTTCAAACTTTTATATAGCAGGTTCGTAAAGCCACAGGAGTCTGAGAACTGACTCGTCTCTGAACCTTTATACTTGCATAGCACCTCAGTTTCAAGAAAATAATCCTTTCAACAGGAAGGGACCAAGAAACCCCGGGGGGGGGGGGGTACTGCCATATATGGGCGATATAGGTATGTGCCGCTGTAAAGGGTATGGTTTTCAAGCAGTTTACTCTAGGATAGGGTGTATAAATCAGAGCTTTTGGGTCTAGAATAGGGTATCATTTTTCAGGAAACTGGTCAGTTGGTTGAAGATTTTATCTAGACTAGAGAAACAGCTACTCTAGGATAGCGGGATTTTGGGGATTTTACTCTAGTCATTGTCTAGTATAGGGTAGCAAAATTCAGCTGAACTAGCTCTGGTATAGGTTAAGGGTTCCAGGGTCCCAGCGGCACATCCCCACCCAGAAATTCCTAAAGTACCCCCCCCCCCCCCCCCCGGGCAAGAAACTGTCAAATGTTGGAAAAAAGGAATCCATTCCTATGAAAAATACGCATGATTTGCTCGTTGGCACTCTACCGATAGGTATACCTAGTAATTAAATTGATCTTTTCAGTATAAATAGAAGCATCTGTAAGCTAGGATATATTCAGTTTTAGCTCTGGTCAAGCTTGTCATTGTTGCACAAAAGAAGATTAAACAAAGTTCAACTGCCAAATCCTGTTTATCTATTCCTTCAAAATCTGTATCCCAAAATAAGGTTCGTCAGAAAGTTTCCCGGCGATTAACGCCAAAGGCATTTGTTATCTTTGGATAGGGAGTTCTATCTGGTGTAACTGCAGCTAACGTATTAAATGCATACCTCAGTTCTAAATTCTCGAGTAATCTTGATAGTTTGTAAGAGGGTACAGCAGACAGTCCTTGATTCGTGACGACGAAAGGGTCTACGAGAAAATAATAGATGGAGATTAAGAACCAAATGCATCTCTCAGGTAAATTCTAGTGTAACTTGAGCTAATACAATGCCTACGTTGATTATAAATTGCCGAGTCGTTTTGATATATAGTATAGCTCGCTTGATTTGTCACGACGAAATAGTCAACGAAGAAATCGTATTTTGCAAAACAAGTTTATGTATAAAGTCAATTGAACATTCCTTCACAAAAAACAGGACCTGCACAAAACTAACCTGAGCGACAGTCAAACCTTTTACCAAGTGAATGTTGAATCTTGTATGAGGGATTTTTCCCTTCATTTAGCTTTCAGTTTCACTTTCATGAACTTACGTCAACGAAATTGACGTAAAATGAGGCGTGATATTAAATCTAATATACAGTTATCAACATTTCTCTGAACAAAATGATAAAGAGCTTTAAAAAATATCTTACAACAGGTTCTGTCGACTGATGGAACCTTCCGCAGATGAAGTTGGTCTGATACTTCCTGTTTTTTCTCCGAAACTTGCTGGAAAGATATGCCTTGTGGACAGTCTTGTGATTGACCTTCTGACGAGGCTCACATTATACTAAGTAGATTCGATATAGTTCGTTTTCACTGTCACGCAACAAAAAAAATAAATTGGAAACCGTCCAGTGGAAGAAGCCAAGAAAATGAAATGTTATAAAAGACTAGCATATAAGCAATTTGTCCAAGTCTCAGGTCTTTGTGGCCCACAAAGACCTGAGTTATTTGCCGAAACGTTTCACGCACCTTTGTAGAGCTTTGTATGCATGAAGGCGTACCATAAACATATCTTCTAATACCGTATTTATTGGATTAACCGCCCTGGGCGCTTATTAAATATTTGGACCTTGAGAATGGGCGTTTATTCAGGGTGGGCGCTTATGAGAGGCTGGGTGCTTATTAAATTTTCGCCATTTTCAACAAGTGTAGTATGTATATTTTGCAAGAAAACGGTAAATGGTAATAGCAAAACGCGGAGATGTAACAAAGCAAGCCGTTTCGGCAAAACACTTTGAAGAAAACTCCGTCTTCGGGGAAGTCTCAAATTAGTACTTATTCCTTTTTTGGGTGGTAGCGGGAAGGGAGTGGGCGCTTATTTGAGTTTGAGTGAGAGTGGGAGGGAGGTGGGGTGGGGTGGGGGTGGGCGTGGAGACCGGCCTTCCCCCGCTTATCTCAGGGTCTGGATGACCGCACCCCACCCCCCCTTCCCCTTATCTGAAGGTCTGGTTAACTAGAGTGGTTTTCAAGTTAAGATCGAAAGTAAATTGCGTTTGCTATGGTTTTGCTACGCCGCACGGTGATTGGTTACACTCTTTTTTTTTTATAAGAATATATTTTATAAGAATATGGAGGCTGAAATTTGCGAATTTTAATAATATTTTAAGAATAAAGCCGAGGCTGTGATTTTGAAAAGGATAGAAATAATTTTGGCTGCCTTTGTCACTCCGCTAACACCATGCACACATTTGTCATGTACAGACAACCCTTGCTGGTTGACAAAGAGTTTACTGCAGTGATTACACTTAATTGTGCTTGACATAGTTGAAACAAAATCGGGTACTTTCGTTTCCATCACGTTATTTCTGAGCGAAATGCTTTTTTTAAAGCCAAAACGGCCAAGTGTCGTTTGACGTCACATCTTGACCTCGCTGACTGCAACGAAAAGCGATGGAGCACGTGCACAATTCTAAAACGGAAATGTCATAAGCTATAATTTAAGAATAATACAAGAATATTTTCAGCTTAAAATCGGCAGAAAAATAAGAATATTCAGTCTGGGCCGGAAAAACAACATTCTTATAAAAAAAAAGAGTGTATTTGACAAAACACGGGCCACTTTTTCAGCAAAAGAGAAGTAAAACCAAACCAAATCGCGACTTGCAAGCGCATGCTCTCGCGCTTTCTGCAAGCATGGTACATGTAATTTCTTCCAGTTTTGGCTGGTTTATGTCACTATTTGCTCCTGTTGTGAATGGTCATAGCAGTTACTTTGGTTTTGGTTTTACAAAACTCACTTGACCAATCTTTGATACAAATTATTTGATTGCTATTAGTTGCCCATATTATGGAACACATGCAATGTTTCTTCTCTGCAGAGGCCCAAAACACTCATTTCCCTTAAAAACGAAAACGTATCGCTGCAACTCTTTCAAAGTGCAAGCGGCTTCATTTTGCAAAAAGGAAGGATATCATTTCTGTATATTGACAAGTGCAATGAAAATAGTATACTCGTCATGTGTCACTTGACCGAAAATAGCAAGGAATTTTGGCATTCATATGACTAGCCGTCTTAATCTCCCTCTTGCTCTTAGCGTTTGACTCAGAGACAGTGTAATCACAATAATACTCATGTCTCAGTTTATGATTAAAACCTAAAATACAAATTAACACTGGATAAATTACGCCTATTACATTTCGTACGCTTGCTACACTTTTGTGCTGCATTTGCTGCCGGCTTGCTACGTACTACACTCGGGTATATGCTTCTTTTTTAATTTATACTCGAACAACTGGAGGTTGTTAGGCTCATAGTCATAGGCGTACGGGCCAGGGGGGCGGGGCGAGGGGGGCTGCAGCTCCCCCAAATTTTGGGCAACGCAGATTTTTTGGGCAGCAAGAGAAAATTTGGGCAAAGCCTCTTTTTAAAGACGTCTCCATGTTTATTTAATTATTTTGAAGACTTGAATATTAACCTGAAGTCGGCGTAATAATGCAGTTACATTCACACGAGACAGTAATCGCCTAATATGTGATGACTAATTTTCATATTTATTTTTTTGTTATTGTTGGGCACCGTGCTGCACTGCACTAGCTGGAATGGGCTATCCAGTCATGAATTGATTAGAATAAACTTTCGCATAACTTTCTAGAATCATCTCCACTTGAAGAACAGGGTAGGTCTGAAAACGGAGCAGTGGCTGACTAATTCTCAGTTTGAATCACGAGAAGAATCTTAATTCTTTTAAAAAATCTATCAAGTTGTTTAAAATTATTCGCTAATTTATTAAAGTAGACCGAAATGTTTACAAAACCGCTAACAAGAGCGCCGCGATACATACTAATCAAATCCTTCTTTCTAGCAATCGGGAAGAGCTATCCCCCCGATCTTTCACACACGTTTTTAAAAAGAATAATACTACTATGAGGTGAAATTGCAAGTCAAAAGCGCTTCATTTTCTACAGATAACAGCCAAACCTCACAATTTTCCTTTTCTTACCGTATTTCTAACGGTAAAGACTTCATCCCTAACTATTTCAGTAAAGCTCTTATAGATTTTGCTTAAACTTTGCAAACATGGTGAAGACCGTATTTGCGAAAAAAGCTCCTGTGAACAATTTTGTAAGGTTCCCAGTGCCGAGAATTTTTAATTTTGCTGAAGTAAAATAGGTAATGGCGTGATTTCGATGCTATGACAACTCCGATGTCATTGCAACCCTGATCATGACAAATTTTCATCTACTGTGGTGGCAATTTTTCCTAATGTTTGTTTATGGCGACGCAGTTTATGCTCAAACTTGGCATTGACCCTGAAAAACTGTATCGAGCCACCTTTATACGCCAGTATGGCCTATGTTGTTGCAATATGGCCCTCGTTTCTTTTCAACTCTTCTGTAAAAATTTGGGACACTTGCGAGAATTTTTTTGGGCAAATGGTTTACCGCCCCCCCTGGCAAAAAATTTCCCGTACGCCTATGCTGCTCATAGTATTAAATGCAAATGCGTCGAGTTGACAACCATAAAACTTAGCTTAAGAAAAATAATAATGATGATGAAAAAATAAATAAATTAGTTAAATGAACAAATAAGTAAATAAACAAGTAAAAGGATTTTAATGACTGTATTTACCCATAAAGACTTAAAAACTGGATTATACCTTTTGCCTGATAAACAACTTAAATTTTTTGACTCTCAGTACAATATAAATAACAATCACAGGTATCGAAAGTGATATTTGGAACTTGCGACACAAAATTTTTAATGGTAGAAGCATTTTTTAAATCATCGTGCAGGGAGTTCCAGATGTTTGGTCCATAGTACCTAAAAGTGTTAAGTCCATACTTAGAAGTATTTCGGTAGAGACAGCTTCATCTTCCCGCTTAAATTTTATGTATTTCCAAGCTCGGCGACAAAGCCCCTCACCCCTGTTGTAATGTTGATACTAGGTCTGCGGTTATTTTTGTAGTTATCCGGGCACTTGGTTTTTAGAGAGACCTTCGCTACGAACCACGTGTGGGATTTGAGTCTTCGTGTTTCCCGAGATTTTTACCGATAATTCTAGTCCGTTTTCTGATGTTGACATTATAACCCCTGCGTCATTTTTAATTTGTTTGTGTACAATCTTTGTTCACCTATCCCTTACCTGATACCATTTTTGTCCTCGAAACCCGTGCCGCAGAGTAGTACGTGTGCAACTTGATTGAAACTACATGGGATGAAAGGGCAAATTGCTGTTTCGGAAGATTTTTAAAGAGCTTAAACCTGGATTTAGAAGCCAGGACAATGATATGAGGTAGGTCCAGGGTGCTTAATTATGTTGGTAAAAAAAATTAAGGCGATTTAGATATTACGACGGAATTTATCAACCTGCGAATGGGGAGCAGTCTTCAATTGTCTCCGGCCTTCCAATAATTATAATGTTTAATTAAACTAGAAAAACAAAAATCTTAATATCTTTTCAAAAATGCTTGATACCAGCCCGAGAAACTCACAAATTGCAACATATACAATAAAAAAGTAAGACATTTCATTTTCATTTCAAATTCTGTGTTAATTGTGGCAATATAAAGTAGCAATGTTTGTAACATGTTCCATACAAAGTCTTAAATTTTGCCGATCTCATCATTATGCACAACGTGGACTACGTTTGCTGCAATTGCTACGCTTCCTACACTTGCTACGTTTGCTTTGCTTGCTACACTTACTACGTTAGCAAAGTTTGCTTGCTACACTTACCACCGGCCCTTGCTACACTTGTTACTCTTGCTATGCTTTCTTCGATTGTTACACGTATTCTCTGTCAAGATGTATAATTAAAAGTCACGAGGACTTAAATCAAACTTGGAAATGTTGTTTTCCACAAAACAGAGATCGATGTACTCTTTAATTTGTTTTGACCAGGCACCAAACAATTACGGAGTTTTTTAATTTTCCCTAGTTCTCTTTCTATTTTTTTTCCTGCTTTACTTCTTGTATGTAAAAGGCGTCGAGAAGAGAAATCAGAAAACTTGATGGTAAAAACAACGTTGGGAACGCGAATAAGCCTGGGCTATGAAAAATAAATACTATACACTTATCAATAAGACGAGTAAATGTAAGACTACATTTATAAGTGATTTGACCTAGTGAAATGGGAATTTGACTTCAGTATTGGAATGGAGACCAATCTAGACACCAATAAACTTAAACCAATTTGCCAAAAAAAGTTTAAAACTACAGCTGTGTAAATAATATAACAGTAACGAACTACAGTGAAACTTCTATTAAGCGGACACCTTTGGGACCTTCCCAAGTGTCCGCTTAATAGAGGTTGTAAAAATTGCGCAATGTTTGTTAACGATCAACATTCAACGGTTACTCAGTACTGTGATAAAGTTACATATTGTTAAAGAAGCTATCCAGAGTTCAAGTTTATTACCCTTCATTGCCAACTTTAATTTGTTTGTAAATGCAAAAACATTAACTGACTTCGGTCTCTATTTCAAGGACGTAATCCAATACTACTATTGTCAATTCAGTCCTGCGTCCGCTTAATAGAGGTTTTTAACAATAGAAATTAGCCAAATACACCTTATTTTAGTGTCCGCGTCCGCTTAATAGAGGTGTCCGCTGAACAGGGGTTCGTTATAAAGGGAAACATAAGGCGTTAATTTCGGTACCTGGCTTAGTGTCCAGTTAATAGAGGGTGTCCGCTTAATTGGGGGTCCGCTTAATAGAGGTTTCACTGTATATTAAATTGCTACTCTAAAGTGCCTCTGTCCCATGTGGTGTCAATGGAAATAGCCGAAATTGACCACTGATTCCTGATATTTTTTAGGTGACTATAAAACAACTTTTAAGTGCACACGACTGGTCGCAAAATATTAAGCTACTAAACGTACCCTGTAATTTTCAGACTACGTAAAGCTTCAACTTATTTATTAACAGCATATAATGTTCTCTTCTGGATAAAGTGTTCCTATTCTTGGGAGGAAGGCTCCATCTCGTAATTGTGACACAAATTAGAGACCGACTTCAACTTCAGACAGCTAGGAACTGCTTCACCGCATTCTTCATCATACCTATACAACAACAACAACAGCAAAAAGCAACGTTAGTAAGCTAACAAAAGAAAAGGATAGTGATTTCATCTAGCGAGGCATAACATTTTGACAACTGACTTCTAAAAGAGTGCGCTCTATTGATCGTATTCCGGAATAAGAATACGCAAAAGTTTTGTTACAAACCTCTTCTATACTGCAATTTTGAACCATTTAAAATTTATATAGATCAGAATACTTTATTTCAAGCAGTTTTGTAGATATTGCAATACTATGAAAGACAAAACAAGTGATTTCTAGAGAGTTTATTCCATTTATTTTTATTTGAGACGCGGAATCAGGTGAATCGAACACGCACTAAATCTATTAGAGCAATGGGTCACATTTATAAAACTGGTAACTTCAACCAATGATTAGACTCATTGTAGATTTAAAGAAACTTGCATACCATAAATCCTCTATTAAGCCCCCCTCTCAAATAAGCTCCCCTTTTCAGAGAAAGAAAGTTATTAAACCCCCTCTCTCTTTCCAGCCCCTTCTCCCTTTTCTTAAATAATAGACGTATGATACATGTATTAATTATCACGACTGTAACGCTTCATGGGGACTTATTATCCGGTATGGTTTATTCACGAGCTGGAAGATCGCATTTGAGTTTGATCTTCAGCTTCATGACCTCCAACTTCATGTGCCTGATCTTTTCCAGTTTGCGCTCTAGTTCTTTATAAAGATTGAAATGATACCATAATCTTCGCTTAACCCTTTAGATCCCAAGAGTGTCCAACATCAATTTTCTCCTAACAACATCAGCAGATCAACAAGAGTAAAGGTTATGAGAAGTACTAAATTGATGACCAAAGCGAGAATACTTTGATCTTAAACCAAATTGTCCCAACTATTCTTAAAAGAAACGTATTGAGATCGGTCTGGAGAATTTGTATTTCGATCTTGGGGCTTAAAGGGTTAATAGAGAGGCTTAATAGAGGAGTTACCATATTTGGAGACTTTCCTAAACGACTACCTTCCGTAAGCGACCGGAAATTTGATCTTCGGATTTTGGGTCGTCGGTTACGTCACGTTCGACTGTAAGTTACAGTGGAACGAACTCATATGGAGCCAACGACACTTTCAAATGTAAAAAAAAAAAATCATGAGACTTGTAATAAATTTTCTAGTGTTTAACCACCAAAAGAACTACCAAAGTCAGACTCCTTTGTTGTGAATTTGACCTGTGACTGGCAGATTGACGCTACGTGACACCGTTTGAGTTTGTTGCTGAGTAATATAGCAAAAATAATTCCTTGTTAAAATTTCGTTTCCTAAAGCACGTAATATGATCCGAGGTTTTAATATATATCCCAAAATACCTTGCTATTTATTAAATGCCCTCAAACTCGAGAGTTACGTCATCACCAATGAGAACAAACGGCGCCCAGTACTTCACTGCATTAAAGCGGTCAGATTCTCTCATGGATTTCATGGCGTCATTCAGAGCTTCACTTGCACTTCTACCATGGACTAGTTGTTTGTAGAAAACTTTCATGAACTCCATAGTAGCTTCGTCGTCGATCGCCCACAGGGACACCAGAACAGAGCGAGCACCAGCACCCAAAAACGCCCGTGCGATGCCGACAACACCCTCAGATTTGACTTCTCCCCAGGCACTATGACAACAACTAAGTACAACAAGTCGTGCCCTAATCTTCGCCTCTAAAACATCTTTCATAGTTAAGAGATAGTCCTCCCTGGCTGGATTTACGGATGAACGCGTTGTGTTAGGAGCCAAGGCGATTTCTCCTGTTTCCATTTTACCGTGAGCAGCAATATGCACCAAAGCAACCGAGGAAATACGTCTCAAGACTTCATCTTTTGTTGCCTGCTTTCCAACGAGAGGTTTTGCTTGAAGTATTTCGCCAATCATCTGCACTTCCTTTTCGGCCCACTTTAACTGCCCCAGCGTCATTCCTTCATAAACTACCTCCTGCACCCACGGATCGCCGACGAGAAGGGCGCCAGTCTTACTGTGCCAATCTGCTGGACAATTTTGGATTAATCGAAGACTAGAAAGTGAAGGAACCAGACGAATTCTGAAAGTTTCACAGAGGTACTCTGATTTCAAGTCCATGAAAGCAGCATAAGGGGCCAAACACAGAGGTCCTTGTGGAACAATCACAACCTCATCGCTATGGAGCAAGTCTCTTATAGGGTCTATAACCGTATTGTAAAATGTTTGTAATGAATTTGTCTGAAAATATAAAGGACAAGACTTTGGCTTACTGGATCTTTCTTCTGCTAACTTTTTATCGCTTGGGTTACTTAATGAGCGATCTTCACAGTTAACATCAGCTGTCACACCTATTTCTTTATGTGTAGTTTCCAATAGAGACTGAAAATAGGTTGTGACGGAGATATCGATCTTCCTTCTTCTAGTTTTGATTTCGTTTCCTTTCTCGTTTACCCAGAGAACTATTCCTCCCTCGCTGATACCCATGAATGCTGTATTTGGTGGTAAGTAACTAGCAAAGTCACTTGGTCTTCCACAAAGTGTTCTTATTTCTGGGCGTAGCCCTTTAAGGCAATACTTCAACTCCAGAAGATCGTTTAAAGCTTGTGCACGTCCTTGATCAGCGGTTAAAAGTGCCTCAATGACTTTACCTTCCTTAAACTGCAGCTCCCACAGCCTCAAATTTATATGATCATACGTATTTTTAAGGCTAATCTTCCATTCGTCTTTAGATATGAGATTTCCCCTAATGTGGTCGAAGGCTATAACACTGTTCTTATAATACTGAACGGCTTTCTGGAACTCTCCAAGATTGCTATAGGCGTTGCCAAGATTACCGTACGCTTTTCCTTCCCCAACTCTGTCTCCCACTTCTTTCGAAATTTTGAGGTGTCGTTCATGGTAATCTTTGGCTTTCTGGAAATCTCCAAGATTACTATAGGTGACGCCAAGATTACAGTACGCTATTCCTTCCCCTGCCCTATCTCCCACTTCTTTCGAAATTTTGAGGAATCGTCCGAGGTACTCTATGGCTTTCTGGAAATCTTCAAGCCTGTCATAGGCGTTGCCAAGATTACAGTACGCTTTTCCTACCCCTGCTCTGTCTCCCACTTCTTTCGAAATTTTGAGGTGTCGTTCAAGGTTCTCTATGGTTTTCTGGAAATCTCCAAGATTTCTATAGACGACGGCAAGATTACCGTACGCTTCTCCTTCTCCTGCCCTGTCTCCCACTTCTTTCGTAATTTTAAGGTTGTTTTCGTGGTACTTTATGGCTTTCTGGGAATCTCCAAGCCTTTCATAGGCGTTGCCAAGATTACGGTACGCTCTTCCTTCCCCTGCTCTGTTTCCCACTTCTTTCGAAATTTTGAGGTATCGTTCATTATACTCCATGGCTTTCTGGAAATCTCCAAGACTGCCATAGGCGACGCCAAGATTACAGTACGCTGCTCCTTCTCCTGCTCTGTCCCCCACTTCTGTCGAAATTTTGAGGTGTCGTTGATGGTAGTCTATGGCTTTCTGGAAATCTCCAAGACTGTGATAGGCGACGCCAAGATTAGCGTACGCTCCTTTTTCCCCTGCTCTGTCTCCCACTTCTGTCGAAATTTTGAGGTGTCGTTGATGGTAGTCTATGGCTTTCTGGAAATCTCCAAGACAGTCATAGGCGACGCCAAGATTACCGTACGCTCCTCCTTCCCCTGCTCTGTCTCCCACTTCTGTCGAAATTTTGAGGTGTCGTTGATGGTACTCTATGGCTTTGTGAAAATCTCCTAAACTTACATAGGCGTTGCCAAGATTGCAGTACGCTCTTCCTTGTTCTGCCCTGTCCCCCACTTCTTTAAAAATTTTGAGGCCTCGTTGATGGTAGTCTATGGCTTTCTGGAAATCTCCAAGACTGCGATAGGCGATGCCAAGATTACCGTACGCTATTCCTTCCCCTGCTCTGTCTCCCACTTCTGTCGAAATTTTGAGGTGTCGTTGATGGTAGTCTATGGATTTCTGGAAATCTCCAAGATTGTGATAGGCGACGCCAAGTTCACCGTACGCTTCTCCTTCCCCTGCTCTGTCTCCCACTTCTGTCGAAATTTTGAGGTATCGTTCATGGTACTCTATGGCTTTCCGGAAATCTCCAAGTCTGTAATAGGCGATGCCTAGGGCCCGCTGGAAATCTTTAAAGTTGACATAGACGTCGCCAATATTACCATCAATAGGTGTGGTTGTCATAGTTTTTTTGCAGGCTTTGCTATTTCAGCTCGTCTGACAAAGGGTATACATATTGTGGTTTCTGTTTTCTTCTGATAACATTTGTCTTTATGTACTATAACGAAGAGGATCTGAAAAGTACGATTAAAAGCTAGGGTAAAAGCTTATTTATTAGCTCCATTACTATTGGTTTTGGTCTATCACAGTTGCATTTGATTTGCCTCAAAAAGAAATCCTTCTACGTGTTTTTCATCGTTGTATAATATGACTTGATGGACTGGAACCGTCGCCCGGTTTGCTCAATGGGATAAGCGCCAGTCTGCTGAGCGACTAGGCCGTAGGTTCAGACCCCGGCCTGACCAACACTCAAGGTCTTTAAATAATTGAGGAGAAAGTGTAATAGTCAGACTTTCTAGTCTTCTCGGATAAGGACGATAAACTGTAGGCCCCGTCTCACAAGGCCTTGCACGTGTAATAAACCTGTGGGACGTTAAAGAGCCCACACGGTCTTCGTAAAGTGTAGGGCACGTAGTGCCCGGTGTAGTGGCCTATCTCACTTTCACACTCATGTATGGGGGCATCATTACTCATTCCTTCATTACTTGTAAACTGCACCTAAGCAGTCTGGCAAAGTCCCCCAACCAGTGTTGTAAATTATCCCTGAAAAGCCCTGAGGGGAGTGGATAATAAGATATTTACAGTTTACAATTTACTGGGGTCTTCTCTAAAAAAAGGAAAATATTAACATTCGTTTTAGTGATAATGACCGAAATAAAAAAAAAAGAAAAGAAACAGATTTACCATTGTTGTCCTCGTAGGGATTTCGCCAAGAAGGCGAAATCCCGAGGAGGCACTCCAGTAACTCGCGCGTATATTAAGAAAAGTACGTACAGTTGAAATATACAGTCAGTATGCCAGAAAAAATCTCGATTTGCTTGAACAGGGGCCGCGAGGAATCGGTAGGTAATGGTGACGTTTCTATTGTTTGCGCCTGCAAGTATGAAAGGGATAGGATGACGTAAAGACAGAAAATCCCAAAGGGACCGCTCAGGTAGATTTTGTGACATTTATAGCGACAGTCATTTTTCGATACTCTTTTGCGTCACGTGTTATCAGTGACATTCTATGGAGCAGTTTTTTTTTGAAAGTTATAGACCAAAAGACACTCGTTAAGCGCAGATGAAGTTATAAGGAGCGTATAACTGTGTATATATAAACACTTGGAGAGTTTGCCAGACACGAGTTCACAAATCTTTGATTGGAAATCTTGCCAGACTCTCTTTCTCTCTCTTTGACCGGAATAAGACTTAGCCCCAAACCAGCAAGACGAGTGAACAACGGCTAGCTTATCGCTAGCAGAACGATGGGCGATTACAGACATTCGTCGACAATCAAATTCTGTGCTGACTTTTTCCGTGCTCACAGATGTCTTTCCGCTAGAAAGTTTAAATTAAGACTAGAATGCGCGAGCGTGAATTGATCAAACGTCCTTTTAATTTCTAAGGCTTACTTTCCGGTAAGTAAAATGAACTGAATGTAAAAGGTGAAAGAGAAATATGGAAAAATTTAACTTCTAATTAAATCTTTTCTTATGGTTTAGAATAAACTATTCTCGAAACTGAGAATGTTTTGAGCAAAGCTGTGTAAATCGAACTGAAACTGTGCATGGAACCTCGCGTTTCCTGTATTTATCTCACCTATTGTATGGAATATGTGCGAAAATCTTCATTATGAATCGGTATATTTCAAAGAGCTACACAACGAGCAAGAATACTGTAACCGACAATATACAGAGCGAGGGCAGCTGTATAGTGTCAACTATTACTAGTTTAAACATGGTGCATTTTATCTATCTACTCATTGTACATTCATCTACCTCATTTCTACTGAAACTACCGAAGCTGTTGCCAACAAACTACAAACCGGGCCAGCGGAAACAAGTGAACTTATTTCTAAGGGTTAACATCTCTGGGTAACGGAACCCAATTGCTTAGCAATTGAAAAGAAAACCTATTTCTTTACCACCAAAGCACTGAGAAAGTAGTTGTCGTAAAGTGGTTATAAGTTTGTGTGCAACACATTGTAGTATAACCGCAGTAGTCAATCGATAAAAATCGGTAAATCGGATTTGATTGATATCGATTGTATCGATCAATCGGTAGAGATCGATGACACGCTCGTTTCGTTAATATATTTTGCTTTTTTTTTCCGATTTCATGGATTTATATCGGAAGACATCTGTTCAACTGTTCATTCAAAAATGAAAACTGATTTCATGCAAACAGTAAATTTGTTGACAATTGAGTTGCAATTGAGATTCGAAGGATCAAACATTATTATCACATTTTAAAAACATATTTTTAAAAAATCTGAAAAATCTTATCTTTTCTTCAAAACCAGGTTAGGTGTCCAGTTTTTCACGATTTAGACCTGCCGCCCTTTCAAAATAACGTCAGTGTAGTTCCGCGGGTGTAGTTACATACCGGAGAAGCCAATGGATAAAAATCGTCAGCAATCAAGTGATTTTTATCGATTGATAACGGAAACAGTGAAAATCTATGTAGGGGAATCTTTGAATGAATTTTAGACATCCCTTCGACTCGTGGGGATGTCTGAAATTCAGGCTAGGAAATCTTTACTTAGGGCTGTATTTCTCGTGATACTTGCCTGCGAGAAGTGAATGTAAAACCGAACCGTTTTTGTTATTGTGTACAAAACGCATAATTTTAGAGAGAAACTTGCGTGTAAGCTAGGATATATTCAGTTTTACTGCTCTGGTCAAGCTTGTCATTGCTGCACAGAAGAAGATTAAACAAAGTTCAACTGCCAAGTCCTGTTCGTCTATTCCTTCAAAATCTGTATCCCAACATAGGGTTCGTCAGAAAGTTTCCCGGCGATTAACGCCAAAGGCATTTCTTCACTTTGGATAGGGAATTCTATCTGGTGTAACTGCAGCTAACGTATTAAATGCATACCTCAGTTCTGAATTCTCGAGTAATCTTGATAGTTCGCAAGAGGGTACAGCAAACAGTCCTTGATTCGTGACGACGAAAGGGTCTACGAGAAAATAATAGATGGAGATTAAGAACCAAATGCATCTCTCAGCTAAATTCTAGTGTAACTTGAGCTAATACAATGCCTACATTGGTTGTAAATTGCCGAGTCGTTTTGATATACACTCTTTTTTTTTTATAAGAACCTTTTTTATAAGAACGTTGAGGCTGAGATTGACCCAAATTTTAAGAACGTATTAAGAACATTCCTCACGAGGAAATCATATTTTGTATGTGCGAGCAACTTGATACAAAACAAGACCAAATAGTCTACGAGGAAATCATATTTTGCAAAACAAGTTCACGTATAAAGTCAATTGAACTTTCAGAACTTTCCTTCACAATGTATAACCGAGCGGCGCGAGCGGTTCAACGCCGCCAACGGCCGGAGGCCAAAGAGCAGTGGCACAACGACATGAATCCTTTGGATGCAAGGAGTGGGCTTAAATGAATGTTTAATACAAAAGAAAAACGAAAACCTAATTACAAACAAAACTAACCACAAAACGAAGTAAAATCTATTTAAAAATGAAATACATTACAGCGCGAGAATGAAACAATGAAATAAGGAAATGTTTTACGCAAAAATTACCGGAGGTCGAGACCTTCTGGGGAGTTAAGCTCCACAGCTAAATAGCAAAGCTTAATAGCAGAGCTAACTCAACTCGAGGAAACTAGACAAAAGTACTCGTATTTATACGCAAGTAAACAGATACTTATGTGACAGGAAACGAGTCAAAAGCATAAAACAGATAAATCACATCCTGATTAGAAGGGATCAAAATAAACGCCCAAGTCAGCCTAACTTGCAAAAAAATAGGTGTTGAAAAGAGAAACGATAAAACACTATACCAAAAAACTACGCACTGGAAAAACAAACCTAAGAAAATACCAATCCTACGCATATCTAAAAGATAAGTAAGTAAAACTACAAAAATACGTGATTAAACCTAGTTACTGAACAGGGAATTTGACTAAACAATAGGAACGGTGACCTTTCTAGACGGTAAGCGTAAACCGATCTACTCACGTCTAGATAATTGCAAAATAAGCCAAAAGAATACAAAAACGATCTATAAGTCTCTTAAAAGTGACTCTGTCACAACAAAATAACAGGACCTGCACAAAACTAACCTGGGCGTCAATCAAACCTTTTACCGAGTGAACGTTGAATCTTGTATGAGGGATTTTTCCCTTCATTTAGCTTTCAGTTTCACTTTCATGAACTTACGTCAACAAAATTGACGTAAGTGCTTCCAGAAATGAAGCCAACCATGGTCAACCATGAAAATTTAATGAAGGGTATGAGGCGTGACATTAAATCTAACAAACAGTTATCAACATTTCTCTGAACAAAATGACAAAGAGCTCTAAAAAAAGATCTTACAACAGGTTCTGTAGACTGATGGAAGCTTCCGCGGATAAAGTTGGTCGGATGCTTCATGTTTTTTCTCCGAAAACTGCTGGAAAAATATGCCTTATGGCCGGTCTTGTGATTGACCTTTTGACTGTGTGTGTGAGTTTTTATAAAATGAGTTCCATTCCTAGTATTGTGGAACAGTGACGAGTTCCTTTCCCACTAGCCAAGCGAGTTGAAGAGTTAGTTTTCAGCCTTATTGTTCATACGCCGAAGTCGCTCGAATTCTCTTAACGCGTATTTCCCCGATTTCTGTTTGGAAGGACAAAACCTATCGTCACAGCTGAAAACAGTTCAATTACGGTTCCTTTTGATCCTGTACTCATAAACACTCCCAAACATCTATTTTCTGCTTATGAATGCTATTGATCTTGCTTAAACTTAATTAGATTGATCTTTTCAGTATAAACAGCAACACTCTATTCAGTTTTAGCTCCTGGTCAATCTTGTCATTGTTGCAC